CCCCCCCCCCCCCCCCCCAAGAAATGCTTGAAAGCTCATGTTTGGAAGAAGATAAGCAATTCACTTTAATCAAACATGATTGATGATTATGCTGGAGTATAAACAGCTATTATTTATTTAATGTTTTTCCATTGTCCTATTTCACTATATTTTACCTGATGGCATTCATGAGAGTGGTTTACATCTCCAAGTAGATTTCATTTAGTGTTTTCTTTGAAATGTGATTAATATTGTTTTAAAATACCTTTTACCTCAAGATAAAATAATATCCTTTCCAACTTCCTGTCTCTAACACTTAAATTGACGCCACAACTCCTGAGTGAATTCATTGTAGCGGAACATTTTGATTTAGTAGGGGATTAATCATAGTTTGGACTCTCTTACAGGAACTCGAAGAAGGCATCAGCAGCCACCAGCCTAGTTTTGCAGCACTGAACAGAACTGGGGATGGGATTGTGCAGAAACTCTCCCCCACAAATGGAAGCTTCTTGAGAGACAAGATGGCAGGTCTAAACCAACGCTGGAATACGGTTGTTGCTGAAGTGAAGGACAGGCAGCCAAGGTGATTTAGCCATGATGACTTGAGGGTTCAGGGGTGAAGCTATTCGGGTAGAATCTTTCAGGGTACGGTTAGGTGTGTTCAAAGTTCTTTTATGGTCTGCCATTACAATAGGAGTTTTACTGACATTTAAGATTTCCATTGTCTATGGATACTGCAAATTTTTTCTTTTACAGTTTTTTTTTTTTTTTCAAATTTCACTGTGATTTGGGCGAAAGTTTACAGAATAAATTCATCTTCCATACTGCAGTTCACATACACTTTGTGTCATGACATTGACTACAATATCCCATAATGCAACACCTCTCCTCCCACTTCTTCCCCATAGCCACTTCCCTGTGTCCTTCCCACCCATGCACTCCTGCCCCTCGAGCTGTCTCCCTCTGCCTGCACAGCCTTTCTGTTCTGATTGACCTCTCCAAGGAGTGTATCTACCTAATGTAAATCTTCAGCTCATATGTTTTGTCTTTGTTTGGCTGGAAGCCACAGGAGTGGGTTCAAGTCCAGACCTGAAGGACAGCTAGGGGCCATAGTCTCAGGGGTTCCACCAGGCTCTATCAGACTAGCAAACCTTGTCCCTTTTTTTTTTTTTTCCCTTTCTTTATGATTTTGAGTTTTTTTCCACATTTTTCTCCCACTCTGTCCAGGATCTCCTACATGGATCCTCCTCTGAGGTGTTGACAGTGGTAGCTGGGCACCATCTCATTCTTCTGGTCTCATAGTTGTATAGACTGAGGATCACATGGCACACCAGTCCCTTGGACTAATTGTTTCCTTGTGTCTTTGCTTTTCTTCATTCTTCTTTTTCATACTGCATTTTTAAGCAGTCCGTAAGTCTCACTTTTCTACTCACATATCACACATGTGAAAGATACCTTATTGGACTCCTTGGGTGGTACAAACAGTTCAGTGCTTGACTATTAGCTGAAAGGTAGGCTGTTCAAACCACCAGAGGCACCTCAGAAGACAGACCTGGTGATTTGCTTCTGAAAGGTCACAGCCTTGAAACCTCTATGGAGCAGTTCTACTGTGTACACGTGAGGTCATCATGAGTCTCAGAATAGAGACTCAGAATTGACTGGACAGCAGCTTACAAAAACAACAACAAAGCACACTTCTATTCCTGTTTATTATGATACAATGATTATGTAGAGGCAGCTTGAAGTTGTTGAAAGTGTGTTACTGGACTTCCAGTCTGAAGATCTGGTTTCAGGCTCCAGGACTCATTGGCTTACTTCCTGCCTCAGCCTCTGAGTCTTTATTGGTAAACGCTCTCCCTAGGTTGTCCTTAGTGTCCAGTGGCATATTATGTGCATATATGACAGTGCTTTGTGATAATCAAATTCCTCATGTATGCAAATATCAGATTCTGTTACAGTACACTAGATTTCATTAGTGTGTCTTATGGCTACAAACAAGTTTGATTACCAGTCAATATAATATTCAATGTTTATCATTATACATACTATTTTATATAATACTTCAACATTACTTGAAATTATTTTCTGAGACAGTCAAGGTTTAATGGATAATTGCTACGTTGCCTAATACGTTATGTATCTTTAAGGACCTTTTATTTTTGATTGATGATAATTTTGAATTAAGAAGTCTAAGAAATGTTTTTCTTCTCTTTTACCTCTGTAAATGATCTATTATTTTAATGTCAGCTATTATTTTGTTACAGACCAATGTAATACTTTATAACATCCAGTATTAATAATTTGGCATACAGTATTCAAGTATGATGTGGCCTATGGTTGCTTTTTACAAACTGCTATCTATTATTTTAAGTGGAGTCCCTGGGTGGTGCGAATTGTTACTGTGCTCAGCTGGTAACTGAAAGGCTGGAGTTGCTATTCTACCCAGAGACACCTCAGAAGGAAGGCCTGGCAGTCTATTTCCAAAAAACCAGCCCTTGAAAACCCCATGGAGTATAGCTCCACTGTGGCACACATGGGTCACTGTGAGTCAGAATCAACTCAGAAGCAACTGGTTATTATTTTGTGTGTTTTGGTTAAGAGAATAACTAGTGAAGAGATTGCCATGTAGCAGAGAGACTGTATTTGGCACCTTGCGTACATTGCCCTACTGAATCCTTACTAATATCCTTTGTGGGAACTGTTAGGCCCATTGAACAGTTTGGGAAATTGTGGCTCAGAGGATGAGGTTGAGTACTCTGTCCAAGGTCTTGTTGTAAGCGAAAGCATTATTGTATGCTGTCAAGAACTGTGCTGGACCAACTTGGGAAGACCACAGAGCTCTGTGGTCAGATTTCTCCCTCTGAGAATAAGAATTATGGCATTTCATTAGAGGATTGTTATATGAGAATTCATGAGACAGTGTTTGTAAAACAGTTATGCCTTGTTGCCTTGCAAACACTCAAGACATCAATTCTTGTAATTGCAAGTTAGCCTAGATCTTATCCTGCAAGCGTGGTGTTGCTGAATTTTGCCAGTGATTGATGGATTTGATCAATTTTTATTGAGCTTTGTGTTCAGCACTGAGAATGCAAACATGGCTAAGAAGCTCAGATACTAAGAAAAGGAAAAACATTTTGAAAAGAAATGAGGTAGTGGGATTAAAGAAAGCATCGTTAGTAAGATGCAGCATTGTCCCAGAGGCAGATGTGATAGGCAACACAGAGAAGGGATAGTTAGGGCGAATTCTGAAGCATTTGCAGGAATTTCCCATCATTTCCTTCTAGGGAAGGCTTTCTAGGGAAAAGAAGTAGAATGGACAAAGGTAAGCAGATAGGAACTAGCATGGCCACATCAGAGATCGGCAAAGGTGTAGCTGGGGAGGAGGATTCAGGGAGAGGGATGGGATTCCCAGCAGAGTTCCTGTGGGATCTTGCATGCGGTGGTAATGAGTGTGCATAGCAAGTCCATCTAGCTAGGAAATGATCCATCTCCTAGGCCTTCTAAAGCAAAAAGATGTACCTACTGGCAGGATATTAACAATAAATGTAGAAATTCCCTTGAAGATTTCCAAATGAGTGTGGTAATTATTGCTCCCGGAACTAACAAGGTGAAGCTAATACATATTTTACTTTTTTTTAAAGTGGAAAGAATGATGTATCTCTTTCTTAATATCTTATATTTTGACTAGAACGATATTTGTTTTCATAGATTCATGTTAAATTTCACTTCAGGTTTATAATGTATTTTAAATTGGGGCCACCTTGGAGCTTTGAGATGGAGCCCTGGTGGTGTCCTAGTTAAGGCATCTGGCTGCTAACCAAAAGATCAGTGGTTCGAACCCACCAATTACTCCATGGAAGAAAGATGGGGCAGTCTGCATCCAGAAAGGTTTACAGCCTTGGAAACCCATTGGGGGCCACTATGAGTCAGAACTGACTTGATGGCAGTGAGTTAACTTTTGGTTTTGGAGCTTTAAGAGCCTGAACGTGTACTGTTACAAAGTCATTGAGAATTATCTCCCTGATAAATTTGTTTTTGTAGTGAGTGTCTGTACTTAAATATTTATACAGTTTAGCATGGTGTTATTTCTTAGTGAACAGTTATCTACTATTTGAATTTGAGTTTATAACATATTTTCACTCTTTGGGTTAACATTTAAAATGTAGATTATATTTAGCTGGTGTACAGATGAAAAGTTTTTGTGAATAAAATATGTCTATTGAAGTTACTTGATAATGTTAGTTTCTTTCATAGCTTTATTTTTAAAACACTACATGAGTCATGACTATGAAACATTGGCAATTCAAATTCCTATACTTTTTTTTTTTTTTAAGGAAGAAAAGGGTCTATAATAATAATGGGATGTTTCCAAGTTGTTATGTATGTTAAATTTTCTTAGATACAGATAGTCTTATCAATGAGTTGATAATTGTTGATTAATTTTCAAGAAAACTGAAGCAGTGTTCTCCCCGATGGATACTTAATAATGAGAACTTGTGATTTTGTGGTGATTTTCATCAGTTATTAAAATCAGTCTTCAAATACCATAGACTGTCTACTGAATATATAGATGTTTATTTAGCATTTTATTATGTGTATTGGTTGCATCATCATGTTAGGTCTTTTTGTGATTAAAAAGAAAATGTCACAGCCATAAAAAATGTAAATTCTTGTTAGAAGTAACAGAATACAGTTCATTGAAAAATTGCCTTCTGTTTTAAACAAACCTCTAACTAGCAGCAGCTGTAATAATAATGAAGCTACCACTTCATTTTGTGTAGCTCTTAACAGCCTCCAAAACTCGTGTATAAAAATACACACTCTTATTTGTCATGAGTTCTAATCATACTCTCATCTACCGACAGATGGTTGATATTCTTATCAATGTTATTCTTACAACATTTTTAAGATGTAATTAAGTCATTTCCTTTTTTATATTGATCTATTTGTTTTCATTACATTCCTTTAAATCTTCGTTTTGTTTTTTCCTAGAATCTCTTTTTAAAACTTAGTGCTATACTGAAATATAATACTTACTTTAATGAACCAACCAGATTTCCATTTTTCTCTTGTCCTTTCTAATACTTTTAAAGTTTTTCCATTTCCCTTTACCTCACTTTGTTCTTATTCTTTCTCTTCTATGAATAACGTTGAATAATAGTTGCCACCCACTGTGAGTAATACTTTGTATAAATGAGAACATTCTATGTGCATTTTGCACTCAAAGAGAATTATGTGTTTTTCCTTGTTATTTTAGATAGATATTTTTAAAATGTTTTTTCCAACTTGTGTCATATTGTACAGTAGTGTCTAACTTAAAAAAAAAGACAACAAACCTTTGCATTACCTGTCTATATAACTTTTCATGATGAGAGAAGACGACATTCTTTATTTCGATGTTTTGAATTTAATTAAGGAAAATCTTTTATCAAATAATTTTCGATAGCACAGAATGTTTACAGTACTATTAACACTTCTTTAAAAATACATATACAAAGAATTATTAGCAATTATTTCTTTGGGGGATGTTTAGTGAAGATATCCAATATAAGATGTTTTGGTTCTTTGGGTAAAATTTCTCAATAGTTTTCAAAACTATATTCCTTCAGGCTGAAAGGAGAAAGTCAGCAGGCAATGGAATACAGGAAAAGGCTGGATGAGATTCTGTGCTGGTTAACAAGGGCCGAGGACACTGTGCAGAAGTCAACCACCACGCTGGAAGAGAACCGGCAAGAACTAACAGTGAGTGGTTTATTTGTTTCCCTGTTTGCTAGCGTCTTTCGATGCATGCCTGCTTACCCTGAAGAGCAATTATTGCAGGACTGAGGAAGAAGATGGGGAGAAAGTTCGTACTTTGAGGTGCATGTGTTCAGCTTGAGAGAAAAATATCTTTTTGTGGTTTTTGTTTTAAAGAGCAGCTATAACTTTAGTGTTGTTGCAGTAAAGTGTCACTCACATAAAAGTTGCCAGTCATTGTGGTCTCAGTATGAAACCAGAGTTTGGGGATATTCCAAACAGACTCCATCATTTTAGAATATAGTAATGCTGGGAGGTATAGTCTTTACTTTTCAATTTGGAGATAGTTAATGATTATTAGCTATTAAATTGAATTTTTAAGAAAACTCAAGTGAGCACAGTTGCTTAGCTATAGGCTTAATCAGGGTTGTATCCATCAAATTTCCTGTTAGTGCAACCTATAAAAATTATTCATGGCTATATATTTATACCATGTACAAAAATTAATGATATATAAATATGTAAATATATCCAAATAGTCATAAATTTTATATATATAAATACTTACATCTTGTGTTAAGACTTAAAATACTTGTAGAAAAACATGCTTAATGTGCTCATGTTTTTTGTGGAAAGGAAATTGTGTGTGTGTGCACTTGCATGCGGGTGTAAATGTGGGCCTGAAAGGCTACTCACTACTTTGATAAGTTTGTGTCTATAGGAGTGTAATGGAGATAATCTGGCACTGAAACTTTATTTTTCATTTTATATGACTCATAGTTGTTTGAATCATTTTTATGATAACATACAGAAACTGATTACTAACTTAAAAAAATTTCAATATTACAGTAAAGATTCTCACGTATAAATGTTTTCAGGTATTTAGTAATGGTGAAAATAATATATGACAACAACATTTCCTAAATTTTCTTTTTAAAATGTGACAATTATCTAACCAATTTGCTTTTGTTTTATTGAAAAATTTCAATAGTTTTCTTGGCACATCCCTTTTACGTATAATTTGGATGAATTACAAAGGGTGGGGTCGTACAGAAGAGTTGATTAGTGACTGTTGGAGAAAAGGTCACAAAATGCTACTTTTTTGTTTTTTATTAGTATAGAGATGATTTTTATTATCTAAAAAGAGAATATTAAGTTAGGAAAGTAATTATAATTTAATATGACTGTATTCTGAGAAAGAATGTTTTTGCACATGTGCACATAGGCACACACACTCTAAAGTGTGTGTTCACTCCTGTGTTTGTAATTTACAGTTTGTTGACATGCATTCAGGCTTCTTATAAATTAATTTACCATATAAGAAATTAAAGGTCCATATTTATAGAATACTCTTGGGAGGGATTCCTGACACAGTTCCTTGAACTTTCCCCAAAATGATAACCTTCTAACCACAGCTGTCTTCTGACCCCTTTAGGATTTAACCCAGGAGATGGAAGTACAAGCTGATAAACTCAAGTGGCTGAATAGAACTGAATTGGAAATGCTTTCAGATAAGAGTCTGAGTTTACAGGAAAGAGATAAAATTTCAGAAAACTTAAGAACTGTAAATACGACATGGAATAAGGTATGCATAGTGTTACATGAAACCAGTCTCATGGCTATTGATCTTGTCAAATATGTGGGATCATGTAACTGTGTGACTTTCAAGTATATCCAAACACAGGCACAATTTCCTAACATCTGCTAATGGTTGTAGTTATTTTTCATTCGTATGTCATAGATCGATGCATACATTATCAAAGAATACATTTTATTTTACATGGAATTTTTTGGCTTAGGAAATTTATGTTATATACTATGTTAATGAAGATATATTAGAACTAGGCAGTAAAATGCCAGTAATTATGAAAATGAAGACCTTAAAAAAGTTTCATGATGCAACACGTTACTTTTTTTCATATATAATTTTATTTTTAATGTTTTTGTTCATTCAACATATATGGAATGAGTGTCTAACTAGGTTTCGGGTGGAATGTCATGGTAACCTTAGTTACGCTTGTAGCTGCATGAACATTCTATTCCATACATACAAACTTGTATGTCTAGTAAGCATCTGGAATTAACATATGAAATTGAGTTCTTCATCTGTCTCCTTGTACCTTAATGTACTTTTCCTACCTCGATTGGTGGGAATTATATTGTCACAACTGCTTAAGTGAAAAAACTTGGAGTCAGTTTTATGGTATGTGAACTACATACTTTAAAAAAAAGAAACCAAAAAGCCCTTAATATCATCATCATTATCTGATCCTCCTTCAAAATATGTATCTGCTTGATAGATGGTTTGATAGTTGATGGTTACAAAAAACCAATCCTACTGCCATTGAGTCGATTCTGACTCATAGCAACCCTTTAGGACAGTAGAACTGCCCTATACAGTTTCCAAGACTGTACATTTCCCTCAGAGTGGCTGGTGAGTTCAAACCACTGATCTTTTGGTTATCAGCCACATGCTCTAACCACTATGCCACTAGAGCTCCTTGATTGATGGCTAGATGATTAGATATATAATAAAGCAAACAGAGCACTGTTTTAACAGTTGTAGAAGCTGAGTGGTAGGTATATGGGTATTCCCTGTCCAGTTACTTTAACTTTTCTTTGGTTTGAAAAATTTCATAATTTGACCCCTCCTCACTATTCCCATTACAACTGACTTGTTTTTAGCCCCATCATCTCTTACCTTGATTATTGAAATGGCTCCCAGTTGGCTTCCTCTTTCCTCCTTTGGCCCTTGTCGATCTTTTCTCAACATAGCAGTCACAATGATTTTGTGAAATCATAATTCAGATCAAATAATTCCTTTGACCAAAGCCCACTATTGGTTTTCCTTCTCACTCAAGAGCCAGTGTTTGTACTGGGACTTTTAACAACTCTCAGGTTCTGACTTCATTAGCTATTCTCTTTCCCTTGCACTCCTTTGCACACATATTGGCCACAATCTCAAATATGGAAGGCTCAGTTTATACATATTCAATTATAGCACACATATATATTTTATATCAAGGATGCCAATGGGTAATGTAGAGAAGGACATTGTGGTCCATTCATGAGCATTATGATAGACAAAATCAAGGCTTCCTTGATTGTAGGACTTTGAATATATTCTGTTATACTTAGGTGAATTATGAATGTGAAAGCCCAAACATTGTTTATTATGCAGAGAAGCTGGGACACATGCTGTAGACACATGCTGGGAAATATTAATGTGGAATATTTGATTCATCCATACATTCATTCACTCACTTAATAGGTTTTTATTAAATGCTCACTTCCTGCCAGCCACCATTTTCAAAACTGTGAACACAACAAGAGTATGACACTGCTGCTCCTCCAAAGAACGTATTGTGGGTGAGACAAGTAGATAAGCAATGACAGCATAGTGGTGCTCTGTGGAAACAAAAAGTAGAGCATGGACCTGGCTCTAGGGGTGACCGTGGAGGCTTTAGGAGGAGATGACTTCCAAACTAATTCATGAAGGGTGAGTAAGTATTGGCCTAGGTGAAGAACGCAGGGAAGGTCATTGTAGAGAGAGGAAGCAGCATGCGAAAGGGCCTGGAGGAGACTGAGAATGAACAGGGTGCCTTCAGGACCTGGAGGTATCGCCGTAAGATTATATCAGAGGGATGCTCATGGAGCCCAGATCCTGAAAGTGTCACCACATGTCACAAGGAATTTGAATTCTAGTTTGAGAACAAGTTTCCTTCTTGAGAGCTGTGGGCAGGTTTTAAACAGGGTAGAGTTACATTTTTGAAAGACTGCTATATCTCTACTATAGAGATAAATGGAGTGGTCCTAAGAATGGGTAGAGAAAGATTGGTTGGAATCTTTAGCAAAGTTTGTGGAGGGGGTGTCAAGTAAGACGGTTGATGAATTCAGGACATAGCTGAGTATCCAGTTGACAGAAAGAAGATATGTTTTTTGAGAGTTATTAGCTTCTTAAAACTCCATATAGTAAATGAAACCATTGGAAACCTTTGGTCCAGGAAGAGAGTCCATGATCAAGGATAAGAAGACCCAGTAGCCTACCCTGTAGGATGTTGGGATTCAATTGATGGGCAGAGAAAAATGAGCTTGTAAGAGACATGTAGAAGAGCAGTCAAAGAGGAAGGGCCAAAGTCAGGCACATACTATTAACAGAAGTCAAGGAAGGGGTGTGGACATATTAGATGAGGTTACATCAGCTAAGGACTGGTTGGCATTCTTAATGATAGCAGTGCCAGTAGAGTGGAAGACTCAAAGCAAGATTGCAGTGCTTAGTGATGATGAGGCTGTCCAGACAGAAGCTTAGTTGTTAAGGAGAAGAAAAGGGACAGAGCTATCATTTAGAATAACACTTCCCTTTAGAAAATGTAATTCTCTTTATTTATATAGTATTCTTCTCTTTTTGTTTGGTCTGATGCTATAGGTATGCCGAGAAGTGCCAATTGCATTGAAGGAACGAACCCTGGAACCCAGTTCCGTTTCACCAACAAGGATTGCTGGTAAGATAAAATTGATTGCTTTTAATGTACAACATAATCTAAATATAAACGTAACAACAGCTGTATGATTTTGAGACTATATATGAATTAGCAGGGAGCTCTGGTAGCATAGTGGCTAAAGCACTTGACTGCTCACCAGAAGGCTGGCGGTTCAAACCCACCAGCCACTCTTCGGAAGGAAGGTTGGGCAATCCTACTTCCATAGTGATACTGCCTCGGAAACCCAAGGAGGGGTCGCTATGAGTCAGGGCCGGCTCGACGGCACATAACCACAACAACAACAACAACAACAACAACAACATGTGAATTAGCAATAACTTACATCAAAACATCATGCAATTGTGATTTCTTATTCTACTTTGTTATTTGGAAAGCACTTTTTCTTTAAACACAAGACATGGTTGACTCTCCAGTGTGTGAGGTGTTCTTTCTGGTAGTGGATAGTACTTTTTGCCTTTTCCTGGAGTAGATGGGGCCTGAACATCTATAGGTCCTGCTGAGAGGCTGAGAAGAGGCTGGCCGGGAACACTGGGGAATCTGCTGGGTACAAGCTGCTTTTAAGGAAATCAGCTGTAACCTGCTGTGCTAACATGTTCCTGGGATGATGACTGAAAACAGAAGGGTTAGATAATGCTTGGGACCAGGTGGGAGATGGAGATTTAGAAAAGTTCTCCATTCCTGGGAAGCTGTTTCCTGGCAAATACTGCTTACTTTCACTGGTACCTGTTGCTGTGGTGTTGATTCTGACTCGTGGCAACCCCACGCGTGTCAGAGTGGCACTGTGTTCCCTCGGGTTTTCAGTGGTTGGTGGTTGGTAAGTAGATTTCCAGGCCTTTGTTTTGAGATGCCTCTGGGTGGAATTGAACCTTCAGTCTTTTGGTTAGCAGTGGAGCACATTGACTGCTTACACCACTCAAAGACTCCTCTGGCCTCATAGACCCCTTGAAGGGGTCTCGAGGAACCCCATTGGTCCCCACCCTTGATTTTGAAAACCTCCAACCTATGCACAGTGCCTAAGCCACTTGACTGCTAACCAGAAGCCTGGTGGTTCAAACCCACCAGCCACTCCTTGGAAGGAAGGTTGGGCAATCCACTTCTGTAGTGATACCTCCTTGGAAACCCAAGGAGGGGTCACTATGAGTTGGACAACTAGAGAGCACATAACAACAACAACAATGCATACAAAAGATACCATTTGAATTTACATTTGTTCAATTGCCCATGAGGTTGAATATATTTGCATATGTTTATTAGCTTTCTTGTTTTGTCTTCGATGAATTGCTGATTGATCTTTTTGTAGTGGTTTTTTTTTTAAGCTATTGTGATTACTAATTCTTTTTCTGTAACCTGTGGCTATTGTGATTACTAATTCTTTTTCTGTAACCTGTGGCTTTAAGTCTTTAGTTATGGTATCTTTTACAGAATTTTTAATTAGTAATCATTCATTAATGATTTATCCTTTCCTGTGTGTGCTTTGCTTCAGAGCTCCTTCAGTCCTCTGAAGTCATGAAGATACTCCTCTATATTTTCAGCTAATAGTTTTACAGTTTTGGATTTTTATTGCCTGGTCTTTAATCCCCCAGAAATTAATTTTTGTGTGGCGAGAGTGAGGTTAAGATCTGTTTCATCAGCTCCCCACACTTGTCGTGAGTCACTGTTTCTTCCAGCCTCATTTACTGAACTCTAGAGTCTTCCTTGCAATGTCGTATCTAGTCAGGCATATTTCTCTACCAAAAATACATTTAAAAATAAATTTTTCTTGGCCCCTTACGCTTCTATATTAATTTTAAAATCAGAAATTTGAGTATATGTATTTATCAACTTTCATATACACAGACCTGTTACAATCTTGATTAGAATTGCACTGAATTTACAAATTGACTTAATGTTTTTAGAAAACTATTTCAGTCTCATCTAATACACATGCCAAAGTAGATCCCAGGTGGATATGAAATTAATTTAGCAATCTATTGCATCAAAAACAAAGAAAAACAACAGCTTTTCCTCATTAAAAAAAAACCAAAAACCTAGGGGAAAAAATGTTCATCAAATCATTGGAAAAGACAAGCATTTCTAACTTTAAAGCCCTAGGGAAACAGTCTCCAAATACAGATTTATGGATCTGATGACTGTATTACATTTATATATGTTAGCATCTATATATGGAAAAGAAAATGCCACATTAAAAGTCCCCAAGTTGTTCTCAGCAATATGGCACGTGTTTGTCTTTCTATATAAGAACTCATCCACATTGATAAGGAAGCAGATAAAAAGTACAGAAAGTTAAAAATAATACTGCGTTTGGCATTAAAAATGAAAAATTTTCACCTTTACTACTAATCAAAAAACCATTAAGAGGAAACAATAGCAAGAGATGTGTGTTTATCCATTGAGGAAATATTTTGGGGGTTGATGCAGAATGTTTATCAGTTTCATGTGCTACTGTTGGGGAATCTAAATTGGTACAACTTTTAAGGAAAGCAATTTGCAGTGAATATTAGAAACAATTTTTAAAATATTCTCTGACTCAGTAGACCCAGTAATTCTACTTTAGAAATTTATATTAAACTGGTAGTCAGAAATAAGCAAAAATACAGGAAGATATTCCTTGCAAGTTTTTTTTTTTTTTTTTTAATTTCAGAAGCAATCTAAATAACCTGGTATAGGAGAAGAGTCTAATAAAAGTTAGTGAGTATATATGTAGAATATTAATAGGTATTTGCAATACTGTTTATTAAGAATGACTAACACTCATGTTATAAAGTAATATGAAAAAAGAATAGAAAATTGTGAATAGTTGTTGGCTTTATAATTAAGGAAAATACTTGAAAAAAAATAACACTTGCATTTTCTCATGGTTGTTATATCACCTGTTTTATTTTAATTTTCTCTTAGTATCGGTGGTTTGTTACTTCTAAGATACTGCTGCCCTAGGATGTTGTGAGACTGTTTTTATTGGTCTGCTTTATGGCTACCAAAGACATACAGATATTACAGGAAATATTGCAGCCATTTCAATATGAAAATATAAAATTAGAGTTTGTTTTTTTTTAGTTAAGTTAAATTTTACTTACCTATGCACATATGTCCCTGTTAGCTTCCACCATCAAACGGTCCTGTTGATTTGGTAATGTTTTGCTGTATCTCTTTATTTCAGTTCATCCTGGTGTCCAAAAGGTGGTGCTAGTGTCATCTGTAGCAGAAAGCCCTGCCCAGCCTCCTCGTACTTCAGAAATTTCACTTCCTGCTGATCTGGATCAAACTATAACAGAACTAGCCGACTGGCTGGCATTGATCGACCAGATGCTGAAGTCCAACATTGTCACTGTCGGGGATGTAGAAGAGATCAATAAGACAGTTTCCCGAATGAAAGTAGGTGCACAGTATAAAGCTATGTGCAGATGCTCTGTAACACAGAGAGATAAGATCAGTTTGGATTCCTTTTGTTTATCCTGAACTATGAAAGAATAAGGTTTCTACATTTTTTTTTTTTTTAATCTGTCAAACAGTCCTCTAGGCTAACCCTGAAGAGTAAAGCTTTTCTTGTATTTGTATTGTGGTGGTAAGATCAGATTGGTTTACCAACTCAAGCTGTAGACTCAGTGTATTTTTAAAAACTAAAAGTGATGCCATCAAGCTAGGCACATTAATGTAGATGTAAGCGAATATTACATTTAATGTTTAGTGTGATGTAGGATACTTTCCTGAAATGGCTTTTCAAGTTAT